GGGGGATACCATTGGGGGGGGGGGCTGGGAACGCAGAGCGCAGGACCATGTATACGTATATTGGGGGGATGTAGTTGAAGGAGGTCCATCCCTCCTTCGAGAAATGTCATAAACAGCGCCACGGCAAAACTTTCCCACAGCTGCCGTAGCATCTTAAGTTAAACGCGGTTTAGGGTTTAGGGTTTAGGGTTTAAGGGTTTAGGGATTAGGAATTAAGGGTTTAGGGATAAGGGTTTAGGGTTAAGGGAGAGAATCCCTCGTAGGGATCCCCATAACCCTGGTATCCCCTATTTTGAGGAACTCCCTCCATGCGAGTGCAGGCATCACATGTGGATGATGACAAGCATTCATCGGGCACTACGTGAGTTTGGGCAGGGGAAAATGCAACACCGTCAATGCACCCACTGGACACGGATATAATCCCCTTTAAGAAGATAGAATATGGGGTATATGGGGATGCATATTCTATCTACTTAACGGGGACTATATCCCTAAACCCTTAAGCCTAAACCCTGGCCCTAAATAGTACTTTCCATGTTCTTCTCCATGTTTCCTGTATAACCCCAATATTCTAGCCATATACCCCCATATTCTAACTGCTTAAGGGGGACTATAAGCTGCAGCTTAACATGGCTGAACCTGCCTTTTGCCTGGCAATCTTCTTGATGGTTTAGGGTTTAGGGGTTCGGTAACAGGAAGGAAGACTATAGAATGAAATGATTACAACAACACTTACCCTAGCAGCATAAAATACCATCATAGAAGCAGTCACAGTCTTCGTAGCAACAAATGGTAGCTTCCATCAATAAGGGAACGCCAATAATTATAGACCCCAAAGGACGATGATCCTTATTATGGGGGGCCCTCGAAAAGGTACCCCTGATGTCGGGATACTCCCAGGTGCAGCTTGCGAGTCTTGGAAAAGGTGAAATTCTTAGGATGTAGGATTCAGGGTGCAAGGTCTACAGGGTTGGGGTACCCTAAACCCTAAACCCTAAGCCCTAAACCCTATAATTTTGGAGACTGAAGAAATGCAGATACTGTTTCTCCCCCCCTGCAGAACTAGTCAATAACATCTCTGAGAACCACTGCTTAGAATCCTTGCATACGGTTTAGGGTTTAGGGTTTAGGTTTTTTTTTTGAGCGCCTCTTTTGCTCTCTGCAGGGTTTAGGGTTTAGGGTAGGACCCTCTAGCCCCCGCAAAAGACTGAGGAGCCCATACTGGGTCTCGACTTTTAGCCTGAACCTCCCAGTCCTCTGGATCATCGTCGTCATTATCGAAAGCACCTCTGCAACCAGCAAGTGCGACTTTGCCAGGGCTTAGTTTTGCTCAAGGTGTAGGATGTTTGAACACTTGCCGCTGGTCGTACTGTGCTTAGCCATGTTCGCACCACACAGCAACTCTCAGCAAAGCTTTGCACTATTCAGGCATATGGAACATGCAAAAGGCAACCCCACAGCAGCATCCGATAATGTGGCAAATCTTGGCAGTGCTTTCTGTATGGTTGTGTGGAACTTTGGGAAGATGATGTCTTACTAAAGGGTGTATTTCACTTCCCCCAACTTGCCGGCCCTTCAACTATGTGGTGGTATGTAAAACCATGTAGCGGGGATAGCGTTCAAAGATGAGACATTCAATCAACGCCGGATTCCCGCGCCTATGACCATCTTCCCGGCGGTCTCCACTGGAGCATAGCCCACGGGCGTCTTCCCCATGTTTTCCGGCATGGGCTGGCCCCACGGTGCCACTGTTGCAATAGTGAAAGACCACCTTTCCTGCTATGATTGGCTGAGAAGGTGAGCTTCCTTTGCTTTTACTGACATGTCAGGGATAGGAGGCCTGGTGAAGACCTTGCTAAGATAACATGCATGATGGTCCCACATTCTAAGAAGATTACATGTTCCACTGCTAGAGCCAATGCATGGCATTGCGGTATAGTCATACAACAACAGGAAGTGGTGTCTAGTAAGGAACGCAGCCATGGCTCCATATAGACTCCTGGCAGCCCATTCCTTCATTACCCAAACCCCCCACACCCAAACTCTAAGCCCCAAAACTAACTGAAGAAGAATCATCCCTTTTAGAACCCCTTTCGTCCTAGGGCCCAACCCTCTCAAACAGGCTCACCTGAGGTCATTCCGAACATACAGGTTTCCTGGGTTGCTGGTAAGGAACTTAAATTAAGTTACCATAATGGGTATATATAGTAAATAATAGAGTTTCCCCAATAGAGTAACTTAATTTAAGTTCCTTAACAGCAACCCAGTTTCTCAAAAGTGGGTTTCGTTTTAAAGCTCTATGCATCTGACCCCTTAAGCAGGAGCTTGTCAAAATGGTTCCTATAGAAACCTTCAGGGACCCCAGAATCTCCTAGTAGTCCCTATATCTCCGAGGATCCCTACGCTATCCTCGCTTTGAGAAAATTCCCAAGCAATGGCCAGACTCATGGAGCCCTTTTTTCTGCGCGAGCCAGTTGAAGCGCAATGTCTCTCCTGCGCAGATTGGCCACTCCATGCAACGTAGGGGTCTAAATGATTAGAAGAGGCTGCTGGCAGGATTGTTGGGAAATGACATTGGTCCCTGAACCCCAAACCCATTCAGTGGTAACCATGCATGCTTCTACATTCATTGTGGATCTTGGTTTAGATCTCACACCCTAAACCCAAAAACCTAAACTCTAACCCTAAACCTAGGGTTCCTGAAGCCTCAACCTTGCTATGTCTCAAAACTCCGGACTACTGGGCGGCTCATGGGCAAAGCCTAAACCCTAAACCCAGAACCCCTCAAGCCCGAAAATCCTAAACCCTAAACCCCTAAAATCCTGAACCCTAAACCCCTAAACCCTCAATCCAAAACCTGAATTTTGGCGGCTCCTAGTTTTGGCTGGTAGGGCTTAGGGGTTTGAGGCATAGGACACTTTTTTTGATTCATAGTGTTGGGTGGAGCCTAATATAACATACGCATCCTGAAAAACGCAACCTCTAGTAGGCTGCCATTCTTCATGCTTGGAGGGTCAGGGGGACTTAGTAAGTAGGTTCATGATTGGGATATTTAGGGTTACTATATGGGTTATAGGGGTTATTAACCTACTTACTCCCCCTGACCCTCCAAGTGTGCGTCACATTCCTTTACAGCACCTACAGAACCCCTAAAAACTTAAGCCAATGTAGGAAGCGAACCCCACAAACCACCGCAAAGCAATTTTAAGCCGCCATCCCGACATGCAGCCTCAACATCACATGCTAACCTTAAACCCTCACTCCAACATATCCTCACATATCCTTACATATCCCGCTGTCTCCCTTTATATGCATATAGCCCAAAACCCGACATGCTTATATCATATATCCCCCGGACCCTGCCCTCATGCTCCCGGCCTTATGCATTACCAGGCAGCCTTCAGCACAGGTTGCCTGAGCTCTCGTTTACCATAGGTGCTATGATCTAAACTCCTCAAAGGGGGTTATATAGGGGATTATGTAGGGCTTAGGGGTCCAAACTCCTTGAAGTGGGTTATATAAGGGATTATGCAGGGTTCACGGGTCTAAACTCCTTAAAGGGGGTTATATACGGGAGTATATGGGTTTTTCAGGAGTTTAGACTATACCTCATATGTGGGGCTCAGGGATTAGAATTTAGGTTCTGGGGTCCACGGTTTAGGGATTAGGGTTTTGGTCGTTTCCCTCCAGATTCGGCATTGTTTTTTTACACCTGCTAAACCGTAGCTTCCATGTTCTTTTCCATTATCCCTAAATAACCCTAATATAACCCCAATGGCCCCGCAAGCATGACAAGCACCCACAAAAGTCCGGCTCCGAATCTGAGTTCCTGCGTTTGCTGCCACATGCTTCAGAAGTAAGGACTACATGTAATGGGTTTAGGGTTTACGGTGTAGGGTTTGGGGTCTAGGGTTTGTTCATCTTAAAACCCCCCACCCACCCACCTATCCCCCTACTGCTAGATATTCCCTTTTATGGTATACTACGATACATACAATATAAAGATTCAATATTGGGCGGCGGCGGATTTGCCATGAACCTCCAAAGAGAGTCCTTCAACCGAGGAGGGCGCCGAACTTGGTGGGGACGCTTCGGCAGCAGCACTTCCTCTCGGTCAGGGCAGTTTGGGATTGAGGCTAGGCTGAAGATTTTCGATTCCGAGAGAGCGTTTACAACTCAAGGTTTCTGGGCAGAAGGACTCTGACGGCAGTGTCGGCAGGCGCATCATAAAAAAAAAAAAAAGCCGCGCGCTAAGAAATGGCACATGCTACTACACAGCGACATGCAGTTTCCTAAGTTGTGAGGATGACGGTCTCAACCATGACAATCCCGGGAACGGGCTGATTCAATTGCTGGCACCTCCTCCTGTGCGCATCCGCAAGATTGCAAAAAGGGTCTAAGGCTTAGGGCATTCGGAATGCCTGGCCTCCAAGCGGAAGAAAAGGCCTCAGCTGCCGCTTAGCCCTGGAGTTTAGAGCCTTACTGGTGCTTAGTAGCGAATAAGGGAATGCAATCCCTATAGAATAGACTCCCTTGTACTAAGCCCCAGTAAGGAGCGGGCACAGGGATGCTATGATGTGAGCTACAGCAACAAAGCACTGTAGCAGCATCCTTGCATCAGCCTGATTGAAGCCATGAACTGACCATCCGGGGGCTTCCATACACAGACCCCAACGCACTAGAATCCATATGAAATGGATCCGCAAAACACGCCGGCATGTAAAAGAAAATCGAAAAAGCTGTTCAGGTTGTTAGCCTCTTTTTAGCTCAATGTAGTCACTATGTGCCCGAATCGGAATCCGACATGTGCCCTAACCTCTCCAAGAAAGCAAAACCCTGAACAATACGATCACCCCTGTAAACTCCAAAAAAATCCAAAACGCTTCTGGGGCACGCTTCAACTTGGCGTGCCAGTTGAATCTCTGCAGTACCTCAGTCTACAGTGAGGATATACTGCTAACGGGTTTCCCAGGTTAGGGTATGGGTCCAGGGCCTAGAGGAACGCCAAAGCACAGGACGGCACCGAAAAGTGGCTCAAAGTAGTGAATCGCGGCTACCCCTCTTACAGCAAGGTCCTCATCGTATGGATTCGCTGCCACGTTCGAGATAACTGCAAAAGCGCATGGGGGCCAATAATTCCACGTCTGCCTACGGTGCTGTAAGTGATCTCAGGCACTACAATCGTCTCATACAAAATCTCTATTGCAATCCTAATTCCTAATCGACAAAGGTTCGCGTGATACCTCATCATCCTTTTGCGCAAATCGTGCTGTCGAACACTAGCCACTAGCAGGTCAGCACGTTGAACTTTCGCGCACACCCAATCCCTTAATCCTAAACCCTAAACCCCTAAACCCCTAAACCCTGCACACCCAATCAAGAGGCTTTAGCAAGGATCCATGGACCAAGGAGGATCACTAAGGTCGGCCCTGCTGTAAAGCAGCTACCAAAAGCCTATCTTCCCCCTTACATAAATAGAATATGGAGTATATGGGGATCTTATCATAATATGCCCAACGCCATATTCCATCTACTTAAGGGGGGCTATATTATCTCTGAGGGCTAAGACTCCCTTGTCGGGCACAAGTTGAGGTTTAAGTGATACTGAGGGTCTGTTGAAAAAGGAAACTCGTATCTGTTGGAGATCTCTTGGTCAAAAGCCCTAAATAAAATGGAAACTACTATAGTATATTGGGGTTATATTATAGAGCTAATGGAAAATGAAATGGAAACTACCATAGTATCTTGGGGTTATAAACCCTAAGCCCTAACCCTAAACCCCTAAACCCGAAGCCCTAAACCATAAACCCTAAACCCCTAAACCCTAAACCCCTAAACCCTAAACCCGAACCCGACACCCTAAACCCTAAACTCTGAAAGGCATCTGTCAGCCATGCGGCCCCTAACACGACGCAGATGAGCACCGCTGCCAGGAGGAGGTAAAGGACCGTTGAGGTCTTCGCAGGGAAAGGAGGGCTTTGGGTTTACGTAGGGTTTCTATAGGGTTTTAATGAGGGTTATATAGGGGTTCTATAGGGGTTATAGTGGGATAATGGAAAATGAGACGGAAACTAGGCTTTGGGTTTCAGGGTTTCAGGGTTTAGGGTTTCAGGGTTTGAGGGTTTAGGGTTTCAGGGTTTCAGGGTTTCAGTGTTTAGGGTTTCAGGGTTTGCGGGTTTCAGGGTTTAGGGTTTTAGGATTTGGGGTGGAAAAGAAGCAAGCGAATGATATGCTCATAGCTCTGGTGCACAAGGCTTGGGCTTCACCATTGCTGTTGGGGCTTATTGGCGTAATCCCAAAGAGTACCCCACAGAGTAGGCCACCTTCTATAATTACAATACTGTTACTATTCAAACGAGTGAATGGCAATTGCATGCACTGCTGGCGTCCATTTTACAGCGTTGACGTCCCGCTGTCCAAGGCGTCTGTAGCTGCGAAAAAAGGGCGGCTGAACGGGGTTGCGCCCAGTACGTCCTTGGTAGCGACATGCGGCTGAGACGCAACAAACTGCAACCCAGACATGCATGGACTGAGCACGACTGAGCACCTCCACCCCTCTCTAAGTGTACGGCTGCTGGGATCTAGTGACTGCGAACCGCCTCTAGTCGTCCTGAGATGGGGGCGCGTTGGGCTTTGCAACAGAAAACTCGCGGCTTCCCCCATTCTCGTCTTTGTTTTCGTGCTAGGCTGTATGTGCATGCATACCTCAAGTTTTCAAAATAATTCAGGGCTGGCTACGACTCTGACCAAAGCGTCAACTGCAACTATCATTTTGCTGTCCATCTTCACCTCCTCAAACTCCCGTGTGGCAATCTCAATACTCATAATTAAGCTAGCCAGCTACCCACAGCAGCATGTTGAGGAGCAGCAGCAGCAGCAGCAGCAGCAGGAGCAGCAGCAGGAGCAGCAGCAGGAGCAGCAGCAGGAGCAGCAGCAGCAGCAGCAGCAGCAGCAGCAGTGGTACGTAGTAGCAGTAGCAGCAATAGCATCAGAATTCGACGTTGCTTTTGCGGAACTGCTACGAATATTCATGTTGGGCGCGTCCTGACTTGAGATGTTGCCATGTCCTTTGTGAAGCGCTTTAGGCCCTGAAACCCGTGAAAACCTCAACCCTACACCCTAAATGCCCTCAAACATCCTGAACCCTAAAAACCCTGCTCCCTCACCCTAAACCTTGGACCCTAGATCCTACCTGAACCCAGGGCTTTCGGTCTTTGACTTTGTCTTACTGGCGCTTAAGAGAGAGTGAGGCGGTGGACCCCTATGACAATCCCTGCCGGAGAACAATCCCCAGAACAAAACCCTACAATGGTACCTATGTTCACTTCCCCACTCTGAAACCTAAACCCCAAACCCTAAACCCTATAGTAAACCCTAAACCCTAAACCCCAAACCCTAAACCCTATACTCAGTCCCCCTAGGTTGTCGCGTCCTCATCGCTGTCGTCTTCCTCCGAGTCGTCTTCGTCCTCAGACTCGGCTTTCTCCAGCCACCTGAGCAATCGAAGCTAGGGTTGGCTACTGGGGTTTAGGGTTTAGAGTTTTAGGATTTTAGAGCTTTAGGGCTTCTAGGGTTTGGGGTTGTGGACTTAAGGTATTGGGCTTTAGGGTTTAAGGTTTGGGGTTTAGCGGTTTTTGGGGGGGAGTATTTGCATAACAAGACTTCTGGCAACAAGAATTTGGGGCTTAGGTCATTATGGGAGAAAAGGATTTAGGGTTCAGGGGTCCAAATCCACAGAGAAAGTAGAAAGAAGAATTTGTGCTGGAGTTTGTCGAAGTTACCCTAAACCCTAAACCCTAAACCCTAAAAGCCCTAAACCCTATGCATCCGTTTCAGGGGGGGCCATGGTAGCCATCGAGGTGGCTTAAGGCTTCTACAACCCGCCCATATCTATGAAAACCATGTGAGCCAGATAGAATATGGCTTTGGGTATATTATAATAAGATCCCCATATACCCCATATTCTATCTACTTAAGGGGGACTATACTCTGGCAATGCCGAATGGCCGAAGCTTCTTCTAGACGTCTTCAGGGCCTCAGCAGTCCTTGTTTCAGGGTACGTGGCCCTTGAAACCCCCCTTTGGGCCCCCGAAATCCTAAACCCTAAACCCTAATGCTGGCCCTAGGAGCCCCCCAGAAGCCCCTTTTAACCCCCTACACCCCTTGGGGACCCCGGCGTCAGGAATGGTGCGGCCAACTTCTTGGCTTCATCAAATCCTGGCTCTCCAACTCCTCCGTCATCCTTGTAATACCTGTCAGTTGCGAATATGCAAGACTTTCCTCCAAAACATAAGGTACACATGCTTTCAATGAGGGATATATGAATGTCAAAAAAAAGGTGGTTACTTAGAATATCTTGAGCCATCACACAGTAGTGAAACCAAATAACGCCATGCTTGTTGAAGTGGAGAACTTTTTACCAAAATTCGAAATGATGTCGGTATACTTCCGATTCTTTCGGCATGAGGTATGCTCATGAACTGTCTACATATCTGACCCCTGCGACCATGTGTGAGTTTCTCAGCAGTCACGACTCATTCCTCGTGTAGCTCAACATAGGGATCCGTATTCACCCTTAATCCCGCCATTTCCAATCCCTACCCCTCTGGCGGATGCGAGAAAACCTGCTTGACTATAAGGACCTTTCCTTCAGAGCCATCTGGTCTGTTTTGCTTTCGTGTGATTAAGGCACAAATGTGACTTAAGCTTGCCATGGCTACCGTCCCAAGACTAAGCAGGGGCAGTTTCTGCAATAGGGATGTGCGGGGTAACAGAACGAAATTGGAAATCCCTGGCAAATATTCTACACACATGGTGCCCCATGTAGCCATTGTCAAGAGAATACGCTCTTTTGCTTGGCCCTTTCAAGCTTCCACCTGAGGTCTCCACATGAGTAATGTCTTTTTGGTGGTTAGACCCAGTAAGATTCTATTCCTTATTTAAAATACTATACCCCAAAAGGAGGATATAATCTTACTCCAAACTGGGTACCATAGTATCCCCAATTAAAATACCACTCACATGAGGGGTTTATGCAAGATTTTGTACAAACACTGCATTGGCTAGAGGGTCTACTACGCGAGAACGAAACGTCTGCACAAAGCTCCAGGTTCTTTTTGCATTCTCCCGTACTGTCTAGCCATAATGCTTAGGATTCAGGATTTAGGATCTGCAATTCAGGGTTTAGGAGAGAGGGTTGTGGGTCCAGGGCTCAGGGGTTCAAAGTTCAGGATTCGGGCGTTCAGGGCTCTGAGTGTAGTAAGCATCTGGGGGCACGAGAGGATGTCCTTCTCCTCGGCCCAGTCCTGGGCGCTGCGTGAAGCGCTCGCATTAGGATTTAAGGCACGGGCTGTAGGGTTTAGGGTTTAGGGCTGAGCTTTGCCCATCTTGAAATGAGGGTCACCCGATTTTGAGCCACAACAAGACGGCTCGGATCCCTGCGAACAGGACTCAACACAATTTCAAGAAACCTTGGTCTGAGGTCTACAGTTTAAATCCCGCGGGTAGGCAAAAATGATTGGGGAATATGAGCTATGGTCTATCTAAACTCTTAGTATCCCCCTTAATAACCTCTCTAGCAGTCCCCTATATATTCCTTTATATAACCCCCTTTAAGAATCTTAGACTACTGCTCTTATTGGGGTAGGCGCCTGTCTTGCATACAAGTACACGGAGGGGAGGAGGCCCACTTGAGGAGATCCGGGTTTCTCATGATTTTCCAGATACCCAAACCAGGATAGTAAGCTGGACAACAACCCTAAGCCCTAAACCCCATATGAGCTGTAGACTAAACTCCCAGCATCCCCCTTAGCAACCCCCAAAATACTCCCCTAGCTAATCCCCGAAACCCCTGTGAGGAGTCTAGACTATAGCTCANNCCCTTTGAAATCGTTGGGTTCGCCTGGCAGGGCACGGGGGCTGAGGATTTCGGGATTAGGGGAGCCAGTCGTCAGAACTCTACATATGAGCCCTGCAAGGACCTGTAAGCAAAAATCCTATCCCCTATATATCCCCATATAAC